GACTCTGATCCAAGAACAAACAGCAAGAGAACCATGAAAAATCAGCCCTGCTGGATCTGGAGCTCTGCCTTGACAAGATATAAAGCTCATTCATTCATAGATCTGACTGTGCTCATGAGACTGCAGTTCAACTCCTGCTGCTAGAGCAAGGGGAGGAGGGAAAGAAGATAGAAAGGGGTGAGAGGGAAGGAGGGGTGGATCTGGGTTGTGACTCTAACAGCTACAGTAATTAGAGTGTTTCCAAACTGCTAGAGAAGTCTTCAGAGCAGAGAACTGGGAGGAGAGATGGGGGAAGGGCAGGAGCTTGTGGAAGCAAACCCTAAGGATGCTGGAAAAGGATGCAGTGGTTGGCGAGCAGTTTAATAAAAGGCACATGGCTGCGATGGCTTCAGATGCAAAAGTCAACAAGTTTATACGGTTTTTCAGAAGTGAATACTACACAACCAACTGCTCTCACCAGGGTTCCACTTAAAGCTGGGTTACAAACTAGACTTCAGCAGATTCTTGCCAATGTCTCCATCTATGCAGTGGTGGCTGGCCCTGGCCTCAGAGCCACAGTTTGCCTCATCATCCTTCAAATCACCCCCATCCCTCCTGCCTCCACATCTCCCTCTCCCCCTGCAAAAAACAGGTCAGTGCTTACACTCCACTTGGACTGTGGGAAAAGGGATTCTAAACTCCAAAACAGTTAATGCGATTTATTTCCCTTCAATCAACTGTTAATAAATACTCTGTGAATTCCAACAGATTCTGTGTATGTGTGTGTGTGTGTGTGTGTGTGTGTGTCTGCTGGCCTAAAACAGAAACTGACTGGAAGGCCCTAAAAAGGTCAGAAAACACCACCAAGTTATCTGCATGGACATGTGAAAGAAAAACATAATCATATTATCAAAAGATGATGATAATCTTTAAGAAAAAGCTAGGAATTTTCAAAAACCATCAACATGTAAAGTCTTTTTCCAAGCTTTAGGAAATGCTATGTTGTTCTTAAGATAAACATCTAATAGAGATATTCCTTTAACATCATGTGGCCTTCTGATGATTTGGTTCTAACCGGTAATATTAATGCCAATCTGAAGGCCGAGAGTTACAAAAGTGCTGGGAGAAACTAAAAGTTGTATAAAATAGACAGGAGGGGCAAATTTCCTGTGGAGAATTACATTCATAAAATAAAAACACATGCAAATGCTTTGTGTAACGCATGTTAGGTGGACCTAACACAAAAAGTCAATTACATCCTAGGCATAAAACCTGCTGGGTATCCTCCCAGTGGGCCAAATCTTTTTCACCACACTGAAACCAAAGAATTTTCTGTTTCTCATTTCCTTCTAATAAACAAGTACTAGAAACACTGAATTACCACTCTTTCTTTGCCATTCATAGGGCATAAAGCCAGAACTCCCAGAAATACAATAGGGCTGTGTAGGCCCATGTCTATGGCATGCTACTCAGTAACCCAAAAGAAACAACAGACAGAAGAATCTCTTTTCTCTATTCCATTATCATCTCACTAACAAATCAACAAGAGGCATTAAGAAATGTGAAACAAAGTGCAATTTCACACATCCCAACTGAACCTAACCCAGCAAAGACCATGTGTTTTCCTGTCACTGTGGCATGTGATGCTTCAACCACCTGCTCAATAATCCCTCTTCAGCTGCACAGCTGCTGCCAATTCCACATGCCCAGCTAGGCAGGTGCGCTGGTGAATTACCTGTTCCCTGGTGAAAAGAGCCCTTCACCGACACTTAGTGGACCCAGAACCTGCCAAACCACATCACCTATCTACATGTTGTCTGTCCAGGCCAACTTTTATCAAACAGCAATCATAAAGGCATATTTATTACACTATGTGATTTTGAATTTTTGTTGCTGTTCTTCTTTGTTCTTTAAAGGACACCGGTTTCTTAAAAAAAAAAAAATCAATATATGTGAGAATTAAGCTGCTGAAAGGAAAACGCGCCACACAACATCGGGCTGTCTCATCTCAGAGTGGCCCCATGCCAGTTCTGCACAATGGAAGTGACAACTGGTGAGCTACCTCTGGAGTGCAGGGGAGGAGGCAGTAGGCACACTAAGCTTATCTGGCAAAGAAGTAACTAAGTAGAGGACAGAGAATGGTAACTTCTGGAGAACACCTATTATTCCAGTAGTCAGCCTCCATGGCTAAGCTCAGGCAGTAGTATTGGGAGTCAAATAAATAAGGAGTGGCACATTCACTTGACAGAGCAATCAGTAGACCCCTCAACAAATTATCCTGTTCCAGTCATTTAGTTGCTATATGCTAATTGCAACATAATTACTACCAGGAGCCAAAATTATGCTTCCATATCCTCACACAAAATAAGCACTAATCTGTCCAGCTATCTAAGACCTCTCACAAGGAAATATTTTCTCCCAAGAAGCTGGGGGTGGGGGTGGGGGGTGGATCCAAATGGCTCTCTGAAAGACAATCACAATCAGAAGATTCACATAAGATTCCTTGTGGCAAGGGCTCAACTCTGAAACCACCAAATCTAATCAGGGCAAATTTCATCTGAGGCGTTTGCTTTCACTGTCACCTGACAGCATTCAGAAATAAATGTCAAAGGTTGGGAGCAAAAAGCTTCGGACTGCATTTAGGTGAGGCTCCACTGAGAGACCTAGAACATACAGTTGGTCAGAAACAGTCTAAAGACAGACAACACCTCCGGTAAAGCCTTAAGACAATTCTTTCATCAAAAATTACAAAGGTCAGAACAACCTGTTCCCCATCAAAGACCCAACACCTGTGTGGCAGGCTATCATGTTAAGAAACACACTGAAATAAAAGGATGAGGGAGGCATTGCAGCCAGACTCACTGCCCCAGACTTTCCCCAAAACCGAAGGCTAAAGTTCCTATTCAGTAAGAGTCTATGTGAAATGATTGGCTACTGTGTACAGTGTATCATACACCATTCCACGCTCACACTGAGTTTTATTTCTAATCTCTTTCTAAAGAAAAGTTTTAATATCCTAAACGTCAACCTCTTTTCCAGCCTCAAATAATTTTTTTACACAATTAATAGTTCCTAAATACTATTCGGACAATCCTATGAGATACATTTAAGGATAGGATTTTTCTAGCACGTTCCCATTCTTCGCTCATTAATAATCCTCAAGACCTAAATGACTTTTTAATGGTCATCTCTTTGGCAAATTTCTCCCTAATACAGAGGCAGATATGGACTTTCTGCATAAAAAGCAAGTCATCTCCTTTCATTTCAACGAAAGTAAATATTAAAAGGAAAGTCGTTTTGTCCCCATAGCCCTTGTCCAGATAGGCAAATTCTGTGGCTTTTCTGTTGTGCAATTATTATTGACCAGGAAGTCACCATTAAAAAAGTCCTTGGTCTTTGACTCACTATCTTAACCCTGCACGGGTTTTTGGTGGTGTTCCTAAACCAACAAACAAAAGTCACTGCACGAGGATCCCATCTCCATAAAAAGAATGAAATAGGATGGCTTAAGTAAGAGTGGAAACCTCCCCCTTGGAGTCATCTTCCTCAAAGGCCTGACACAAACATCAGGGTTGAGTCTTGGTACATAACTTAGTACAGGCTAGCCAAAGAGCCAGGCACAACATGGCTGGCATCCCCTATTCTTCTGAAAAATGTGTGCCAATGAGCTCTGCATTGTTCCTCACTCAAAAAGAAGAGCCTTTCTGTCTGGCCTCCTCCAATGGCAAGCCCCAGTCTGGAAAGGGAAGAAAATGGCACTGAGGAGCCTGGGAGATGGAGCATATCCAAAGCTCTCAGACAAGACTTGAACCTATGACCTTCACTGTGTACACAATAGGCGGGTGAGGGGGACCGGTTTATCTGTGCTGCAGCAGTTCTCAGCCCTGGGGTAGCACTCCCGATAAAATGACACGACTATTGTGTGTGGCAGCAGCACAGTCATCTCCTCACAACAGCCTAAACCAGCACTCCCTCCCCCAAGACAAAGCAGCAGGGGCGAAATTAACTCAAGGCTGCAGAGCAAAGCCTAATACCGAAAAGAGAGGCCTGTGGGGCCTGGGGGACTCTCCTCCACCCCTGGGGGCTCAGGACACATGGCTGGAAACAGACAGGCTTTCTCCCCCATCTTTCCCACTCTCATTTAGGTGGGAAGCTGTTTCTTCGAGAATTTAATCATCTGTGATTTGTTCAGAAATATTCCCCCTGAAGGGCTCTGATCTCTCCACCCTGTGTGAGCCTAATTCCTAGAAGCTGAAAGGACTGTTTGCTGCTGCCTGTTTCACAAACACACATTAATTGGTCCGATGTGTCTCCTCCTCCTCAACCCCAGAGGGAGGAAAGAATCTGAGCAAAGCCCAGAGATGATCCAACCGTAATTACACATAAAGGGAAAAGAGGGCACACGGCTTTTCCAAACAGGACAGGGTCACAGACCCTCCCGGGGGCACAAGGAGAGCAGTTAAAGTCCAGGCCCAGCGATCCCTCCATCTTGAAGAAAAGGACAGGAGTAAATGTGACCCGGAGACTGGAAGGGGCACACACCCACAGCCTACTTACTGCACACTCCCAGCCACCTTGCTCCCCCCACCGCGCCCGGGCCGCGCACACGTCCTGCTTCCCCCCCTCCGCCAGGAACCCCCCCCCAACTCCCTGACTGGCCCCCACTCGCCCTGGCCCCCTCACCATACCCACACTCCCCTCAGAAACTCTCTGGCCTGTCCCCATAACCTGGCCAGCCCCTAATCCCCTACGGAACACCCCTAGCCTCAGCCTGAACCGGCCCCGGCCACGCTTTGAACTTCACCCCGCGCCCCTCGGCGCCCCCTCCCCCACACACGCAACGACCCCCCTCCCCCCCAAACACACCTTCCCCTCGCTCCGCCCCGGCCCCCCAACCCCCACTTCCTCCGTCAGGCGCCACTGCCCCCGGCCCCCCTCGGCTCCCCTCAGCACCGGGCCCCCTTGGCGCCGCCGCCTCTTTCCTCCCCCAGCCCCAGCTCCACACAAAGCTCCGTACTCACCGCGCGGCCGGTCCCGGGAGCCGCCACCTCCGCCCGCCCGGGCCCCGGGCCGTAGAGCCGCCGCTGCTACGGCGCCCAGGCCGCCATCCGTTCCCGCGGCCCCTCCCCCCACCCCGCCCCGGCTCCGGCTCTCCGCCCCCTCCCCGCGCCGCTCCGCCCCGCCGGTGCCGCTGTGTCCGGGGCCGCGGGTCCCTCAGCCGCCGCCACCGCCGCCGCCGCCGCGATCCGGGACAACCAGGGCCGTCCGCAAGTCCCGGACACTGGATTGCCAGGCCCTCGGATCCGGATCCCCTGCTGCTGTGGAGTCGGGAGCGGGTGAGCGCCGAGAGAAACCCGGAGCCTGGATGGAGGAGCCAGATCCTGGGTCTCGGAATGCGCGGGTCACTCGGAGCCCGGATTAGAGAGTCGTAGCTCCAGGAATGCCGGAAAACCCGGCGAGCTGGTTAAAAACGGAGATAAACTCGGAGGAACCCGGATTGGAGCGCTCAGACCTAACGCTCTCACCTCGTGGAAAGGAGACCGCTCGCGGCGGTCGCTGGGGAGGTGGCGTACCTTACAGAGGGCACTAACTCTAGAGATGTCCTCCAGCCGTGGGGACAGGAGAGGGCCACCCCGGGCCTGAACGGGAACAGCCACAAAGAACACAAGGGCAAAGGCTCAGGATGCTTTCATCCATTTTACCCTTTGGTTCAGCAAAGTACCAACCTCCTAATTTTTTATCCTTTGTTCTTTTTTTTTTTTTTTTTTTTAAGGAAGACCACTTTTCCTTTCCAAAACACCAATTTCTATTCCTCCTAGGTCCCCTTTCACCTCACCATCCTGTATCTCGAAGGCTCATTCTTCCTTTCCCAATTCACCATGCTAACCATCAGTGTTTATCTTTCCTCATCGGCCACTCACCTCCACTCGCAGTGCCTAGCACACAGCCGGCTTCAGTCCGTGGTTAAGGAAACCCTTCCACTCACCTTGCACTTGTGAAACTTAACATTTTTCATGACCTCCATACCTTAATTCTCAAGGCTCCCCAGTTCTTAGCCCCTAGTATGCCTTTTGTGTGCCCTTGACCACTTTATTTGGCTTTGCAATTGTTTTTCCTTTCTTCTCTTATCCTCAGGCATCATTCAACAATGCCCCTCAAGATAGCATGTGGGGACCAGCGCTATGGCGTATTGGTTAGAGCCAGCATCCCATACGGGCACCCATTTGAGTCCTGGCTGCTCCACTTCTGATCCAGCTCTCTGCTGTGGCCTGTGAAGGCAGTAGAGGATGGCCTGGGTCCTTGGGCCCCTACACCCACGTGGGAGGCCTGGAGGAGGCTCCTCCTGGCTCCTGGCTTCAGATCAGTGCATCCAGCCATTGCAACCAATTGGGGAGTGAGCCAGTGGATGGAAGACCTCTCTCTCTCTGCCTCTTCTTCTCACTCTGTGTAACACTGACTTTCAAGTAAATAAATCTTAAAAAAAAAAAAAAAAAAAAAGGTAGCATATGAGTTGGAGAGAGCGGTCAAAGCTCTAGTCTAATAAAGAGATATGGAGGCTGGCAGGTTTGACAACTGAAGATGAACAATACACACTAAGCCCATTTGGTCTAGGAGAAATAATCCCCCTTTGGACCAGTATTCAAGTTATCCTAAGATGGTACAGGGACAGAACTGATCCCAGCTTAACAGCAAACTTCCCAGTGAGGATTCAGCTCCTTAGTAGGTAGAGATTTAGTGTTTTAGTCTTAAGTAAGAGTTAAACATTTCCAGGGTCCAGTCTTGGGGCATGGCGGGCAAAGCATCCCATATGGACACCACTGCAGATCCAGCTCCCTGATAATGGCCTGAGAAAAGCAGTGGACGATGCTTGGGCCCTGCAACTCACCTAGGAGACCTGGATGAAGCTTCTGACACGGGCCAGGCTCAGCCCTGGCTGTTGTGACCACTCGGGGAGTGAGCCTGGGGATGGAAGATCTCTGTCTCTCCCTCTCTTTCTGTAACTCTTCTTTCAAATACATAAATAAATATTTTATAAAAAGAGTTAAACATTTCCAGTAGTAATCTCCTGCTGAAGGAGGACTGCAGAAACAGGGGTGGGAGGGCGAGAAGGAGGGCGAACATTCCTACAGCGCACAGTGACACCAGTTCTCAGAGAAAGATCTCAGCTTGGAAGAATCACTAAAGTTTTTCAAGTGATTGGACACCTTGTACAGTGAAAGAATCTTACATTTTGACTTCCTGTTTCTCCAGTCCAAAGGTGGCAAACTATGGCCCACAGTGCCTATTTTGATATATATCCCATAAGCTAAAAATGTTTTTTACATTTTAAATGGTTAAAAAAAAATCAGAACACTTCATGATGTTAAGATTATATGAGGGGCCGGCGCCGTGGCTCAATAGGCTAATCCTCCGCCTGCGGCACCAGCACACCGGGTTCTAGTCCCGGTCGGGGTGCCGGATTCTGTCCCGGTTGCCCCTCTTCCAGGCCAGCTCTCTGCTATGGCCAGGGAGTGCAGTGGAGGATGGTCCAAGTCCCTGGGCCCTGCACCCCATGGGAGACCAGGAGAAGCACCTGGCTCCTGCCTTCGGATCAGCGCGGTGCGCCGGCCGCAGTGTGCTGGTGGTGGCACCCATTGAAGGGTGAACCAACGGCAAAAAGGAAGACCTTTGTCTCTGTCTCTCTCTCTCTCTCACTATCCACTCTGCCTGTCAAAAAAAAAAAAAAAAAAAAAAAAAAAAAGATTATATGAGGGGCCCGCGCTGTGGTGCAGCGGGTTAACGCCCTGGCCTGAAGCACCGGCATCCCATATGGGCACCAGTTCAAGACCCGGCTGCTCCACTTCCGATCCAGCTCTCTGTTATGGCCTGGGAAAGCATTAGAAGATGACCCAAGTCCTTGAGCCCCAGCACCAGTGTGAGAGACCCAGAAGAAAGTCCTGGCTCTTGGCTTCAGATTGGTGTAGCTCTGGCCATTGCGACCAATTGGGGAGTGAACCAACGGGTGGAGGTCTCTCTCTCTCTCCTCTGCCTCTCCTTCTCTGTAACTCTGATTTTCAAATAAATATTTTTTTAAAAAGATTATATGAAATCCTATTTTCCATGTCTAGTTCTATTGGGTATAGCAATGCTCCTTGAGTTACAGGATTGCTGGTGATGGATGCATGTGCACTTTAACAGCACATCTGAATAGTACTAACAGACTATGGCCGGTGCTGTGGCGTAGCAGGTAGAGCCGCTGCCTGCAGTGCTGGCATCCCATATGTGGGTACTGGTTCGAGTCCCAGCTGCCCCACTTCCAATCCAGCTCTCTACTGTGGCCTGGGAAAGCACTAGAAGATGACCCAAGTCCCTGGGCCCCTGCACCTGCGTGGGAGACCCAGAATAAGCTCCTGGCTTTGGATTGACACAACTCCGGCAGTTGTGGCCATCTAGGGAGTAAACCAGTGAATGGAAGACCTCTCTCTCTCTCTCTCTCTGCCCCTCCCTCCTTCTCTCTGAAACTCTTTGAAGTAAAATAAATAAATCTTTAAAGAGAGAGAGAGAGAGGGCCGGCGCCGCGGCTCACTAGGCTAATCCTCCACCTTGCGGCGCCGGCACACCAGGTTCTAGTCCCGGTCGGGGTGGCAGTTTCTGTCCTGGTTGCCCCTCTTCCAGGCCAGCCCTCTGCTGTGGCCAGGGAGTGCAGTGGAGGATGGCCCAAGTACTTGGGCCCTGCGCCCCATGGGAGACCAGGAGAAGCACCTGGCTCCTGCCTTCGGATCAGCGCGGTGCACTGGCCGCAGTGCGCTGGCTGCGGCAGCCATTGGAGGGTGAACCAACGGCAAAAAGGAAGACCTTTCTCCCTGTCTCTCTCTCTCACTATCCACTCTGTCAAAAAAAAAAAAAAAAAGAGAGAGAGAGAGAGAGAGAGAGACAGACTATGGCCTGTAAAGCTTGAAATATTTGCCATCTGGCTTCCACACAAAGTTTGCCAACCCCTTGCTCCAAACAAGCACTGTCCAATAGAACTTTCTGCAGTGATGGAAATATATCAATGCTGTCTAATTCAAAAATCACTGGTCACATGTGGCTGTCTGAACAACGTGAAATATGGTTAACAGAGCCTGCACAACTGAATCCTAGGCCGGCATTGTGGCACAGTGGTAAAGCCATCCCATATGAGTCCTGGATGCTCTGCTTCTGATCCAGAGCTGATGGCCAGAGGATGGACCAAATGCTTGGACCCTTGCTACCCACAATGGGAGACCTGAAAGAAGCTCCTGGCTTCAGCATGGCCCAGCAGTTGTCGCCATCTGAGGAGTGAACCAGTGGATGGAAGATCTCTCTTTCTCTCTCTCTGTAAATCTTTCAGATATAAATAAATCTTCGGGGGGGGGGGAGGGGGAATGGATGTGAAGGGCCAGCGCTGTGGCATACTAGGCTGAGTCGCTGCCTGAAGCCTCAGCATCCCCTATGCCAGTTCATGTCCCAGCTGCTCCTCTTCCAATCCGGTTCTCTGCTAAGGCCTGGGAAAGTGGTGGCCCCTGCACCCACGTGGGAGACCCGGAAAAAGATTCTGGCTTCAGATCGCCCCAGCTCCAGCCGTTGCAGCCATTGGGGAAGTGAACCAGCAGATGGAGGACCTTTCTCTCTGTCTCTCCCTCTCCCTGTGACTCTGCATCTTAAATAAATAAAAATATTAAAAAAAAAAAAACCTGAATCCTAAATTTAATTGAAATTTAAATAACCACATGTAGCTAGTGGCTATATTAGTACAGCTGTAGACTTGTCTTAAATGCCTATACTGATTTTTTTTGCTTCTCCTGCCAAGATCTCCCTTCTTTCTTGTGACAAACCTCTATGATTCTCAGTACCCTGCCCCCACTCCTCACTCCCCAAACCCTATTTTTCTGACTCTAAGCTAGGGTACCTTTACTAGGTTTTCTTCCTGAGCTTCCCCCATTGTCACAACTGAAATCTGATCAGTTTCCCAGGTTTCACCCCATGGATTAAGCCACATTATGTGCACACACATAAATGGACAGACATTTACACAAGTTTCTTTGTGTCAGAGGATGGCACTGTGGCTGTTCTTTCTTCTCTGCATGAGAGAAGCAGAAAAGCCCTCCACATGGTAGATCCCTTGTAGCTGCTGGAGCCTGTGATATGGATCACCCCCCTCCAAACACATTCACAGAAGCGGAGAACAGCACATGTGTACTTGGCTGTTTGAATCGCAAGGAAAAAAATTCCCTCATCATTGGACTTTCTTTCCTCCCCCAGGCCTAACAAACTGAAGTTTGCTGATTTCACTAGTTTAATAGATGCTTGCTTTTAACTGTTTTTTTTTTTTTTTTCCTTTCCCCAGCTGGCCAAGAGAACAGCCTCCATACTGTCTCAATCTTGGCAAGGAGTTCTACCAAAGGCATTAAAAAAAAAAAAAAAAACCACTAAATTAAATGAAATCCACATATCCACATAAATGGGCTTTAGTAGAGACAGTAGTTAAAATAACTCATAAAAGCTGTAACTTTGCAATTATTTGTAAAAGTAATCTTTGAAGTCTAAATTTTTCACATCTATATTCCCCTAGGAAAAAACTGGTTTCTGTAAACTTGCAGATTATAAAGGAAAGAGGGGACTCCTAGATTTCTTTCTCCAGGTTAGCTATAGCAAGCAAAACAAACAGAACCCTCACTCTATTCCAAATACTGGATTACAAGGCCAAGGCCTCCTAAACTCCGACAGGCTCTCCAGTTTGACAGACCCCATTCCAGGCTTACATAAATGAGAATGAGTCCTGCCTGGAAAAATAAAACTACAAAAAGCTGATTCCTCTAGGTCCTATACAAACTGAGAGCAACTGAACCCAATCTTCCCTGAGAGGGCACAGATATTTCGGCTGTCACAGAAAAGCAGCACACAAATGTGAAGCTTCCCTCGGGCCAAGCTGTCCCAGAGTTACAGGGTCAGAGCAAAGTGTTTTAAGCACTGAAAGGCTATTCCTGGGCCAGTTTGCAACAGGCTGCTAAGAATTTCCAGAGGCTTTAAATGAAGCGATTCACTCCTCGACTGAAGGCCACTACCGGCCCCCCCACCCCCCAGGGTTTAACCTCCACTTCCTCCCCTATGCCTCCGCAAATGAAAAAGAGACCTTACACCACGGCTAACATGTGAACCAAAGGCAGCTTGCGGTCTAACCATGGAAAGGAGAAGTCTCCAAGTTACTCTACTCCTGTGGCTCCAGCTGCATTTCTCAGATGCTGAGGTGGGTGCTTGTAAACCCGTAAAGTTCTTGTAAACTTTCTTATCACAGCACACAGAATGGTTGCATAACCTGATCTGTGCAGCTCCAGGCATTTTTCTTTAGGCGTGTACACACAATCTATCCAGGTGGAAAAATCAATCCAGACTCCTCTGTGCTCAGGCTGTTGTTCAGTTTCATTTTGGTATTAAGAGAGCCACAGAATTCAAGGTAGCACTGCTCGGTAAACTAGTAACTGCACAGTGAACACTGTGTGCCTTCCTTAACATTAGGGTCTGACTGCAAGAAGGCCAGAAAAAGACCTTTCCCCCTAACCCTGCCCCCGAACCCCAGAGAAGTGTCATTAGCTATCCTTTGCACTGTCTCCACAGAAGTTGAACAGAGAAGAGAATACTGCATGTTTGCAACACCAGAACAAGAATCTGGTGGATTTTCCCTGGGAATCCAGAGTGATCAGACCCTAGAGAACCAATGCCTACAGCTATGCAACAAGCAGGGTTCACAGTTGAGTGAACATCAATGCATAATGAGTGGAGGCATTTCAATGCAAATAAACGCTGAATATGAAGGATTAAAGAAAGGGGAAATTAATCTTTTTCATAACAGTGCACTTTTTTTCTCTCTAGCTCTCTCTTTTTTAAGTCATGCACACAACTGCTGGAGGGAATCCAACTTCCCCAGTGTGGCAGGGGTGCTTTATAAAAAGCAGAACATACACACTGAAGACCATGAATTTCCTCAGGACGCCAGCAGCTGAGATTCTGACAGCTCTTCAGGATGGCTGTGGAAACAAGGTGCTTCACTAAGGAGGGTCAGACTGACAAGTACAAAAAAAAATTTTTTTTTAACTAATAAAAATTTCATTTCAAACCAACCTCTTGTTTTTCCCGAAGCTCCTAGCTTCCTGGGATGTGCAGTGTTTAAAAGGTCTGGCTTCAGCATTTAGGGGTATTTGGATGCATTTACAGAAGAAGGAATTTTGTTTTTCTGCTTGTTTCTAACTGCCCTATCCAAGTGATGCAATACCAACAAAATGAACAGGGCAGCAACATGCTGCCTTAGCAGGTGCCGCCGTTTTCTCCCAGTTTGCTCTTTCCATGTCCCGGCTGCTCACAATAAAGAGCACAGTGGAAGTGCTTCTTCAGGTTATCGCCTCCAAAACAAAATCTGCCACTAAGCGTTCCTTGGCTTTTCACTTTTCACTCACACTGTTTGCTTCCAGAAACACTGGACTAAAGCAGAAAACCTGCTAAAGATGTTTTTGTCCTATCACAGGTTTGTATTAAACACAGGATTCCTCAAACATCCTATATTCTACAAGATGCCCACTTTAAAGAAAAAAAAAAAGAAACTTAAAATTCAAGGGGTCCCTCAAAGTCCCAGAAAAGTCATTTCTGACTTCCCCCTTCTCTTCTGATATTATTCAGAGAAAAATGTCAAACACCTAGATTTTTTAAAATAAGTTTTTATAAATAATGTATTCAAAGATTTTGACCCACTGCATAAAGAATCTCATTCTTTAAGAAAAATATACAGATTTTGGCAAGGTATTAAATTTGGAGAGAGTCAAGCCTGATGTCAAGCCTTTAGATTTCCAACTGCTGCATTTCCAAAGGACCAGTGGATAGTAATTTTAGTACACAAAACTCCACTATGGTGTATGGTTCCTTTTGTCTTGGGTCAGACAGCTTTATTCTGCCTCATTAACCCCTTCTTTGCTCCTTGATGGATCTTGGAATCCAGCTTCCCTGTAAGGGAGAAAAAGAAGTCTCATTATTTATTTTTTATATTTGCAATGCAAATCATTCACGGCCTCCCAGGTCTTGTGGTTACTGTGTTCCTGTCACATCCAATTATCTTGCTTCAGGACTCAGACCCTTCCAAACTTGAGAGTTTCATTTTGTAAGAATGAAGCAGCAAGTGGGAACACTGTACAGGGATGGGAACATGGACACACACAAAGTGAGTATTTGTCCAAAACATCTAGTAAGTTAACATTTTTAAACTTGTAGATACTATAAAAGAAACATCACACTTTCCAGGGTATCTGATGCTAAGGCAAATTTTTAAAGAATACACACTAATGAAGGCATTTCACACAGTGGGAAACCCATTCCTCTGACCTGTTAACTGGCCGAGCATAATGCATGACCCTCCTTCACAGTGAGAAAAGCAGTTCAACTCACCCCGGCGCTGCCTCAGACTTAATAGGGGGAGTGACCTGAAACAATGGAGTAGAATCCACAGGAATGCTTTTCTGACAAAGGGCCCCTATCACCAGCTAAGAAGGGTAAAGGTCACAGGCTGTATGACTCTCCTAAGTGTTGAACTTAGAAAACAAGCACCCTTCCCATCCCAGGTGACCCTAATGAGAAGTCCTTTACTGATGTGGTCTCTGACCTCTGACTCCTCAGATCTAGCAGGACACAGTTTGGGTCAGTGGCCGCAGCATTAGGATGCCTCCATCTCAGGGAGAGAATTTTAACAAAGTTCCCATGTGCCTGGCCTAAGAACACAGCTTGCAGTTTGTTTCCTCTCACAAAACCCCATCTAAGTCAGTAGCAATGCTGAAATTAGAAACACAGTTCAGTTCAGCCTCAGTACTCAAAAAACAAAACAAAACAAGCAGCCTCTGCCTTCAAAGGCAGCCAGGTATACTCAAGACCGGTGACTGTGACCACTGCCCCTCATCTGCTGTCACTTTAATTTGTTGCAACAATTATGTGTCAGAGAAAGTGCACTGAACTACAACTCAGAAGACCCAAGTTCTAGTCCACCTTACTCTGGTATTAGCTAGCTCGGTATGATCTGCAGCAAATCACCCACTACTAATTCTGGACTTCAAAGTTATCACGTGCCCACTAAGATAAGGATATGTGTCCTGACCACTGCACAAGGAGATTGTGGAAAAATAAACTCATCCTAACAAGTTCCCCTGTTTTCTTAACCCCCACCCCCCACCCCAATCTCTCTAGAGCTACACCTGCTTCTAGACTAACACTGCGTTCTTTTCTGGGCTTCCTCAGAAACCACTGAGTGATACTCTGAATGCCATCCATGACAGTCACAATGTTGTTGGTTTTAATTTGGGTTTTAAAGCACAGGGCATTCCCAGGGATTTGGGAGTTCTTTCATCCCCTAGACTGCCTGGCTGGAAACCTGAACCCGTGCCAGCAATCTGGCAAAGAGCCCTATTACATGGCAAGTTTGCTTTTGTATCCCTCACACTACCATAGTGACTGCCAAATGGTAGGTGCTCAATAAATGCTTCCATTAAATGAGTTAAACAAAGAAGGCAGCTACTACAAATTTCAAAACCTTTATATTATAGGGACTACTAAGTAACCAAAAACAGCAGCTGTAAAATAAATGCAAGAGTACACATTGTGACGGTGGTGGTACCCAGAAGTACAAGTAGGTATTGAGTTTCATTCAGCTTTCTAGGAAAAGCTAGGCTAGAATTTAGAATTTCATCTACTGCCTATAACATCCAGTACTCTGTATTGAATAAACTGGAAGACTCAGCTCCTAGTTTTGATCCTGAAACAACTCAGCTCTATAACCCTGAGGATGCTACCTATTCACTCTTGTCCTCAATTTTTTCAGCTCTAAAAGCAAAATGGACTGCTGTATGATATTATGCCCTAAACGTGAAATGTAAATTGGAATAATTTGTTTCTGAAGCAATATGATGAAGTGAAAAAAGCAGGAAACCTAGAGTTGGGAAGACTTAAGTACAACACAGCTTCTGCAAGCCTGTTTGCTCAACTGTAAAATGAACAGGAGAAAAAACCCCTATGAACTCAAAGAACTGGTGAGAAGATGATAGCTCACATTAAGTGCTTTCTATGTACCAGGCACTGTGCTAAGTGTTTTACATACTCTCAGTCATTTTAATCAAATAGCTAATTGAAATTACACACTTCCCTGGTATCCTCAGGAGACTGGTTCCAAGACATCCCCACCTCTCACATACTTTATGTTTAAATTAATTAATTAATTAATTTGAAAGAGAGAGAGAGAGAGAGAGAGAGAGAGAGATCTTCTATCCATTGATTCATTCCCTAAACACCCACAACAGCTGGAGCTAGGTCCAGGCTGAAACCAGGAACCTAAAAGTCAACTAGCATCTCCCATATGAGTGACAAAGACTCAACTAACTGCATCATTCCAAGGTATGCATTAACAGGAAAGAGTGGAGTTAAGGAGTCAGTGCTGTCACCTAGGGTAAGCCTCTGCCAACGTCAATGGCATCTCACATGGTCACCAGCTTATGTCCCTGTTTTTTTTTTTTTTTTTTTTTAAGATTTATTTATTTATTTATTTGAAAGTCAGAGTTACAGAGAATAGTGGCAGAGGCAGAGGCAGAGAGAGATAGAGAGATCTTACATCCTCTGGTTTACTTCCCAAATGGCCACAATGACCAGAGCTGGACCGATCTGAAGCCAGGAGCTTTTTCTGGGTCTCCCACGTGTGTGCAGGGGCCCAAGCACTTGAGCCATCCTCTACTGCTTTCCCAGGCCATAGCAGAGAGCTAGATCGGAAGTGAAGCAGTCAGGACTCAAACCACTGCCCATATGGGATGCCAGCACTGCACGCAGTGGTTTTACCTACTATGCCACAGTGCTGGTACCTATGTCCCTGCTTTTCTCTCTGTCTCTCCCTCTCTCTCTCTCTCTCTCTGTAACTCTACCTCTCAAATTAAAAAAAAAAAAAAAAGAGTGCAGCTAAGACTTGAATTCCAGGTACCCCAATGTGGGATGCAGGCATCCTAAGTAGCATCTTAACTGCTTGCCTTGAATACACTTTAAATCATTCCTAGGTTACTTATAATACCTAATGTAATGCAAATGCTATGTAAATAGTTAGACCATATTGCTAGAGAAAAATGACAAAAAAAAAAAAAGTATGGCACCAGGCTCCTGATTGGCTCAGCTTAGAACATTACAGCCATCTGGGGAATGAACCAGCGGATGGAAGACCTCTCTCTCTGTCTCTCCCTCTCCAACTCTGTCTTCAAATAAATAAATAAACCTTTAAAGAAAGAAAGAAAAAGCCTGTTCATGTTCAGTACAGATAATTTTCTCCCCAAACATTTTCAATACTTGGTTGGCTAAATCCATGGATATGGACCCATGGATATGAAGGGCTGACTGTAGATGTTAAAAGATTTCAAAAACTCAAAGTACTCTGAAAAAGTAAGAGTGCTTATATTGTTTTTGCTGGAGTTTGGGATTTATGCTTCTCAGTTATGGTCTCAATTTCACCTTTACCATGTGACTACAGGCAAGTATTTTGACCATATTTTAGATTCTTCATACTAAAAACAGAGACATTAATTTATTCACATTCTCAAAGTTTTACTGTATAAGAATATCCCAAGTTTTCAAAAAGTCCAGATTGACTGTGAAAGCCCTCAAGTCAGATGAGCTCAGGTTAAGATCAACCTATCAGGGCTGGCGCTGTGGAGCAGTGGGCTAAGCCTCTGCCTGTGGCGCTGGCATCCTATATGGGTGCCAGTTCGTGTTCCAACTGCTCCTTTTCCAATCCAGCTTTCTGCTTATGGCCTGGGAAAGCAGTGAAATATGGCCTATGTGTTTGGGCTCTTGCACCCATGTGGGAGACTGAGAAGCAGCTCCTGGCTCTTGGCTTCAGATCGACCTAGGTCCCGCCACTGTGATCATTTGTGGAGTGAACCAGTGGATGGAAGAAGACCTCTGTCTCTCCCTCTCTGTGTCTGTATCTCTGCCTCTCAAATAAATAAAATTTTTTTAAAAGATCAACCCATCAGAACAAAGCACTCAACAGTAGGCAAAACTAATCTCTAGCTTAGAAAAAACTGAAAAAACTAAGAAAAATGGAAAACTAAGGCAATATGAGAAGAACCAGGGTTTCTAGGACATTCCCAGGGATTCCAAAATTCTTTTTCCCCAGGCCACCTAAGAAAACCACACATGTGCCACCACATCTGTGAACTACTAACAATCAAGGACTTTTTTGCATCTCTAACATGTACCAGAGTGACTGCCAATAGTAGCAACTCGACTCAACTGTGGGCAGTGAAGAAAGGGATTGTGTCTTCTTGCAGGAAGCAGCAGAGCCACCATGGCTGTAGTCAGATTGCAAGAACTCTGAGTTCTACTTAAGCCTGGTCTGTCTGTCTGTCTGTCTGTCTTTCTTTCTTTCTTTCTTTCTTTTTTTTTTCCTAAAAAAAAAAAAAAAAAAAAAAAAAAAAAAAAAAGATCTATTTACCTATTTTAAGGATTTATGGCCAGCGCTGCAGCTCACTAGGCTAATCCTCCACCTTGCTGCGCCGGCACACCAGATTCTAGTCCCGGTCCAGGCGCCGGATTCTGTCCCGGTTGCCCCTCTTCCAGGCCAGCTCTCTGCTATGGCCAGGGAGTGCAGTGGAGGATGGCCCAAGTGCTTGGGCCCTGCACCCCATGGGAGACCAGGAGAAGCACCTGGCTCCTGGCTTCGGATCAGCACGGTGCTCCGGCTGCAGTGCGCCGGCCGCGGCAGCCATTGGAGGGTGAACCAACAGCAAAAGGAAGACCTTTCTCTCTGTCTCTCTCTCTCACTGTCCACTCTGCCTGTCAAAAAATAAAAAAAATAAAAATCAAATGGCTGCAATTGCCACGTCTAGGCCAGGCTGAAGTCAGAAACCTGGAACTCCATCCAGGTCTCCCAATGGGTGCAGAGACCCAAGCACCTGGGTCATCTTTTGCTGCTTTCCCAGGTGCATTAGCAGGGCATTGGATCAGAAGTACAACAGCCAGGTCTCAAATTGGTGCTCACACAGGTTGCTGATGCCAGTGTTGCAGGCAGCAGCTTAACAGCCCACTGCACCACAATGCTGGCCCTTAGCCTCATCTTTTAAGACCTGGGAGCTGTTTAAGAATCATATAATAACATAATATACTCAGTGGTAGACTGGTAATGCTTTGTTTCTCTATCTCCCCAATATTTTTACATTTAGCATCTAAAGCATTTCAGTGATAAACCATATCCTTAGTCACAGTGCTTAAAAGAAAATCAAATGCATGTGTAGCAGATGGGCAAGAAGTTGAAAGTGGAAAAAGAATTTGTCATCAATTGATAGGAATTGCATAAGGATTCTCAATGCTTTTCAAGATATAAGGCAGTATTTGCATGTGTTTATAAAGCATGTAGTTAAATTAAAAAAAAAAAAGTACTCCCCCCCCCCCCCGGCCCCCGCATTGTGGCTTAGCAGGTTAAGCCACCACCAGTGATGTTGGTGTCCCATAAGGGTGTTGGTTCGAGTCCTGGCTGCTCCACTTCTGATCTCTGCTGATGTAGGTGGGAAAGCAGTGGAGGATGGACCAAGTGTTTGGGCCCCTGCAGCCACGTGGGATACCTGGACGAAGCTTCTGGCTTCAGCCTGGCCTAGCCTTAACTGTTGTAGCCATCTGGGGAGTGAACCAATGAATGGAAGATACCTGTGTGTGTGTCCCTCTGATGCTCTGCCTTTCAAATAAATAAATCTTTTAAAAGACCTTATGGAGAAAAAAATAAAGGCTATATACATATATATTTTTTGTTGTTGTTGTTGCTTAAGATTTATCTATTTACTTGAAAGTCAGAGTTACACAGATAGAGAAGGAGAGGCGGAGAGAGAGAGAGAGAGGTCCTCCATCTGCTGGCCCACTCCCCAAATAGCTGCAATGGCCGGAGCCGCACTGACCCGAAGCCAGGAGCCAGGAGCCTCCTCTGGGTCTCCCATGTGGGTGCAGGAGCCCAAGGACTTAGCCCAGGCCATGGCAGAGAGCTGGATCAGAAGTGGAGCAGCCAGAACTCGAACCAGCTTGAACCGCTACACCACAGCGCTGGCCCTGGCTATATATATATATTAAAGGTGGGTCTCTGAGTAGAGAAAGTATTAAAGTAATATATTTCAGAGAAATATCTAAACTCTGTTTATACACAATATTTTCTCACAGGCGCTTAAGTAGCAGATGAAAACCAAGACAAAGGCAGAAGCTAAGAAGAGAGAACTGCACTAAAGATCAAGTAACAGTCACTCTCTGAGAGAAGATGGACCACCTTTTCCTCCTGCCACAAGTGTTGCTGTCAATGTTTACAGTAAGGTAAGAAAGCAGTGGAGAAGGAAGGGGACAAATGACACATCCTAACAGCGAGAGAGAAAAAGGGAAATTTCAACCCTAAAGAGTAGAAAAGAAGAAAAAAGAATTTCCAGAACCACCTGGCCATCAGCCAGAGTACAGTCTGGAGAATCTGATGAGCGTAAGTGTAAGGCAACTTTGTTCCGATTTTCTGATTTGTAGAAATCTCAGATACATATGTGTTATCATCATATGTCTGAATTTTGCAGTGAATATACATTAATATATGTTCAAGCACTTCATTTTTGTGATGGAAAGCACTGCTATAGTATAGTCAGGTGACCAATAGCATTTGTACTGGGGCCAGTATTGTGGCGTCACGGGTTAAGCTGCCACCTGTGACATCGTCATCCCATATGAGTGCAGGTTCGAGTCCTGGCTGCTCTGCTTCTTTTCCAGCTCCCTGCCTGGGAAAGCAGCAGAACTTGGGCCCCTACTATCCACGTGGGAGACCCAGATGGCGTTCCAGCCTCCTATCTTTGGCCTGGCCCAGCTGGACATTGTGGTCATTTAGGGAGTGAACCAGTATACCATCGATCTCTCTCTAACTCTTTCAGATAAATAACTAGATCTTTAAAAAATTTTAAACAAGGTATCAGTATCACCTGAGAGAAAGGCCTAGGAATCTTTGTTCTAATAGCTTCCTAGATGGCTTTTATTCTCTTGATGGTTTGAGAAGTTTTTCTTCAGAAAGTAGACTTATAAAATCGCTGGTTGGTCCTCAGGTGAAGTAGAGATGTGTACAAGTGAAGACAATGCATGTCCTAGCATTACTCAGTTCACACAAAGGAAAAGCAGTGACATGGAGCACAAATGCTAAGTGACATGAGCAAATGGGAACATTGTTGATGCTGTTTTTCAAAGGTTAGGCAGCAAGGATACCCTTATCTCTCTATATTTTTTGAGATTACTCTGAAATAGAAGCTGCTTCTGTAGGATAAACTGAGGAAGAGATGTTGGGAGCTGGAAGAAAAGTTGGAAGAAAGAAGAATGAAGCCAACAAAACATTCCCGGAGAAGTGAATATACTTTAACCACAAACCTGCGAGTAAAGGTTAAAGAAAAAGAAAAGAAAACATTAAGAGGTTTCAAAAAGAAGATGAAAGGCGCCAGTGCTGTAGCGTAGAAAGTAAAACCTTCACCTGCAGTGCTGGCATCCCACATGGGCACCAGTTCGAGTCCCGGCTGCTCCACTTCCCATCCAGCTCTCTGCTATGGCCTGAGAAAGCAGTAGAAGATGGCCCAAGGGGCCGGTGCCTTAAATCACTTGGTTAATCCTCCGCCTGCAGCCCCAGCATCCCATATGGGCGCCGGGTTCTAGTCCCAGTTGCTCCTCTTCCAGTCCAGCTCTCTGCTGTGGCCTGGGAAGGCAGTGGAGGATGGCCCAAGTGCTTGGGCCCTGCACCCGCATGGGAGACCAGGAGGAAGCACCTGGCTCCTGGCTTCATATCGGCGCAGTGCCAGCTGTAGCAGCCATTTGGGGAGTGAACCAACGGAAGGAAGACTTTTCTCTCTATCTCTCTCTCTAACTCTGTCAAATAAAAAAAAAAAAAAAAAGAAGAAGAAGAAGAAGAAGATGGCCCAAGTCCTTGGGCCCCTGCATCTGTGTGGGAGAGCTGGAAGAAGCTCCTGGCTCCTGACTTCAGATTGGCATAACTCCGGCCATTGCAGCCAATTGGGGAGTAAACCAGCGGATGGAAGACCTCTCTCTCTCTCTCTCTCTCTGCCTCTCCTTCTCTCTGTGTAACTCTGACTTTCAAATAAATAAATAAACCTTAAAGAAAATCACCTTTAAAGAAAAAAAAGAGGATGACAAGCAAGAAGGCTAAGGCAGCACTCCAGGAACAAATAATCAAGGGAAATGTGGGAAGTAGTGCCTCCAAAACAGAAAATAAACATTTAAATGTGAAATGTTATTCTTGGGTTGAATACTGAAGAACAAGGGAGAGATGACAATTTTACCACTGGTACTAGCTGACTCCTTCCTTTAATGAGTGGTATCGTGGACCAGAATATGCTCTTTTGGCTAACAAATAGCATTTTAATGTAATGGGGTCCTAAATTGAAGTTTGGAGTGATTCACTAGCATGCTAGTAATTGTGGACCAGGGTACACCTCAGAAAGGCTATAACTGTGTTAATAACCCTACATTAAAGTTAGTGATATGGGGCCAGCATAGTGGGTTAAGTTACCACCTGTGACACCAGCATCCCATAGGAGTACCAGTTCAAGTCTCAGCTATTCCACTTCTGATCCAGTTCCCTGCTGATGTGTTTGGGAAAGCAGCAGAAGATGGCCCAGGTACCTGGGCACCTGCAATCCACATGGGAGGTCTGAAAGGCGTTCCAGGCTCCTGGCTTTGGCCTAGCCTTGACCCAGCCATTGTAGCCATTTAGGGGAGTGAACTAGAAGATGGAAAATCAGAAAGTGATCTCTTTGTCTCTTGCCCTCTCTCTAACTCTGCCTTTCAAATAAATAAAATAAATCATTTAAAAAAAGTTATTGATAAATAACAATCTTTAATAATCATTTATAATTATTTACAATTTATATAAATTATTTTAATTAAAGATAATTTCCAACATTAGGATGCCATAGAATAAAGTAAAAACAGCATATTTTTATCTTAAAGATTTACCTATTTATTTTAAAGACAGAGTTACAAAGAGGGAAAGACAGAGAGAAAGAGAGAGAGAGAGAGAATGTTTCACCTCTTGGTTTACTCCCCAACTAGCTGAGACAGCCAGCCAAGGCTGCGGCCAGGCCAAAGCTAGGTGCCTGGAACTCTGACTTGGTCTCTCACATGGGTAGCAGAGGCCCAAGTACTTGGGCCATCTTCTGTTGCTTTCCCAGGTGTATTAGTGGGGAACAGAAGTGGAGCAGCAGGCACTTGAACAGGCAACTCCATGTCACAGGCAGTAGCTTAACCTGATGTGTTATAATGCTGGCTCCAAGTAGATTTTTTAGAAGTTAGACAAATGAGATATAAGACAAAAAGAAAAAATTAGATCATCAAAGATCATGACTTACAGATTTTTGGATTTCCTTTAATAGGAAACTTCACAATCATTTCCTGGGGATTTTTGCAGATGAAAACAAATGGAGAATCAGATTCTTGACTGATATCTGGAAACTGCGAAAAATAGAAATAAAAAGTTCAAGCTGGTTTGGACAAATTTTGAATTTCAGAGAGATCAAAGGATGTCCCAGGTTTTACCTGAACCTTCTGATAACAGTACTCTCCATTCCACAGGAACAGAGGATTATGCTCCACAACATGAACAAAGCTCCACTTTTTGCACAGTATTTAGTCTACTGCCTGCCATCTCTGATTTCTCTAGGGGAAACAACTTCATTAAAAAGGGATCCCTAACATCTTCCGGAAGAATCAGAAATGACCAATCTTTCACCAAAAGTCTCCTTAGGAACACCAGCCAGCCCACAGGTTCAGTTCACGCGCAGCACTGGGAGATTTAAGAAAGATAGAGCATTTGTGGAAGTCCTGCCAGAAACAGCACACAGAGCCCTTCTCACACTGAAGGGAAGGAAGATGATTCATTGTGAAAGGTATGAACACGCAAAAGCTGTTTTGCTGAATGCATTCCAGGCCTACTCAGGGTGAAAAGGTAACTAACTAAATAACTGGTAGAGCAATTCTCAAAATGATTTAGAAGTCTCCTTTGGGTCTCTTATCACAACACAAATCTGCATGAATGCTGAAGACTTTCATTTCTTCTGTAAAAACAGACACACAACCTGAAGGAAAACTAAACTGGCTACATAATCACAACAGAAGGACCAACCTGAGGTTGGCAGAAAGCGCTCTCCAGCAACCCCTCACTGAGGTGGGGTTTCCTCAGTTCTTAGCCTGGGATGTCTTGTGCTCAAACTTCACTACCAGGGAAGCCTTTCTCCAAATGACTACTGTCAAAAGTATGGAATTATCTTCCATTTTTATTCATCTGCTCAGATATGTCTTCCCAAGATCTAAAGTGCTAAAGCAGAGATGGAGGTTTCAGTTGGAGAAGGCAAGGGAGAAGGAAAAGAAGAAATAAAGAAAATTTCTCAGTAGCTAGTAGAAGCACAAACAGTTAAACTTCTTTACTAGCCACTTTGTCCTAGGTGATAAGTGATGCTGTCAGGAAAACAGAGGGGTTCTTAGCAGCTTTGTTCCTACCCACATATCACGGCTTTCAGTGTGGGATAGGTGTGGCATGTACTTTGATAAAATAAAAAAACTTAATATCAAGTATTAGCCACAGTCATATCTGAAGGCAAGGTCAAAATGCTCACAGTTGACAACAAAGAACAAATATGGGAGATAAACTCTTCTATAATCATGGGGATCTATGGAATTCAGAAAAGCAGGGCTGTTACTTCTGAGTATTAGAAGGAACTAATAAGCCCCCCGACAAGGCCCATGCTGAAGGGCTTTGACATGAATAAGACCAGAGGCTCCCACCAAGATCTTTAAACCTAATTCTAAACAGGCCAAAGAGGCAGCAATCAGAGCTGCCATTTCTTGAATTTTCCTGCTTTTGTTTCTCTATGGCTTATAGAGTATCAAGACAAAGAACAATATTGCCAGGACTTCACAGCTCTGCTTTTCCAAAATTACAAGCCATTTCAGCCATTCTCTCCTCTTTCTTCCAGATCAATAATTCTTTCCTCTCTACTGGATCGATCCCATTAACACACAAACATTCTGTAATGTGTGCCATAAAACTACAACTCCTCTCCAGATCCCACATCCACTCCCAGCTACTACCCCATTTTTAGGTCCTCTTTACAACAAAATTCATTGGAAGATTATCTGTACTCCTCCTTTCAAGTCCTCTGTTTTTCTCTTAAATTCACAGACAGGCTTTCACTCCTATCACTTCACCAAAATTATTCTTATAAAGGTCACTGCTGAACTTGCATGTTGAAAGACAGAGAGCTCTTCCATCCACGGGTTCACTATCCAAATACCCACGACAGCTGGGGCTGTGCTAGGCCAAATCCAGGAGCCAGGAACTCAGTCTGAGTACCTTACTTAAAATCAAAGCATCAATCGCCCCACAAACCTGGCACTGTTGGCTTTTTGTATTAAACCAGTACCTGAAGTTTTAGGTGTTTGTCAATTAAAAATTTTTTCTTATTTGTTCATTTTCCATTTACTTGAAAGGCAAAGAGACAGACCAAGAGAAATAGAGAGGTATTCCATCTCCTGGTTTACTCCCTCCAGCTGAATCCTCCATGTGGGTGAAACAGACCCAAGTACTTGGGTCATCATCCACTGCCTTCCTAGGTACACTGTCAGGAAGCTGGAACAGAAGTAGATTAGCTGGGACTCAAATCAGCACTCCCATACAGAATGCAGATGTCCCAAGTGGCAGCTTAGCCCACTGCACCACAACACCTGCCTCTACAACTTATAGCCTTTTGCCTCAGATCAAAGATCCCTTTCTTATAAGCTCTTCACTGGTCAGCGTGTAATGTGGTCCTTAGTGTCCAGGCCTCAGTCACCAGGATTCTGCTTTTTTGGTGGTATTGAGGCTCTGCCAAGTAGACTTGGCTTTAATGAATTTGATGATGAAAGATAATCCATTTTCCCAGTACATAAGCCTTACTTTAGTCCTTGTAGTCTGCTTTGCTATTCACCTCTGTTTCTTGTAAGCCCCTTGAAGTTCAGTGGTAGTGCTGGGAAAAAGAACATTCACATGGCCTTGGATTTCAGAGCCAGTCAGGCAAGTTGATTTTAATGTTTATCTTTATGTGAGGCATGATGAATCCAAACAACCTATTATCAAATTTCATTTGTCCACCATTTTTCTACTTTCCCCCACTACTTAACACTTGCATACTCTGTAATTATATGTTAGAATGGTTTTTCTTAAATGTAAAGCTATAGTAGCTGCTTGCCAAGATAAAAAGTTTTAATTTAGCATGAGGAATAAAACATTTGGAGTGAGGGGCTGGCACTGCGGCACAGTAAGTTAAGCTACTGCCTGTGATGCTGACATCCCATATGAGTGCCAGTTCAAGTCCCAGCTGCTCTACTTCCAATCCAGTTCTCTGCTAATGTGTTGGAGAAAACAGCAGAAAATGGCCTGAGTATTTGGGCTCCTGCCGCTCATGTTGGAGAACCAGATAGGGTTCCTAGTCCCTAACTTTGTCCTGGTCTGGCTCTAGCTGTTGCCAGTACTTGGGGAGTGAACCAAAAGACTTAAGACCTCTCTATCACCCTCTGTTTTTCAAATAAATAAATCTTTATTTTTTTCCCTTTTATTTTTTTAAATTTTTTGACAGGCAGAGTGGACAGTGAGAGAGAGACAGACAGAGAGAAAGGTCTTCCTTTGCCATTGGTTCACGCCCCAATGGCCGCTGCAGCCGGGGCACCGCGCTGATCCAAAGCCAGGAGCCAGGTGCTTTTCCTGGTCTCCCATGGGTGCAGGGCCCAAGGACTTGGGCCATCCTCCACTGCACTCCTGGGCCACAGCAGAGAGCTGGACTGGAAGAGGGGCAACTGGGACAGAATCCGGCACCCTGACTGGGACTAGAACCCGGTGTGCCAGCACCACAGGCGGAGGATTAGCCTGTTGAGCCACAGCGCCGGCCTAAATAAATCTTTAAAAAAAATTATAGGGGCCGGCGCTGTGGGATAGTGGGTAAAGCCACCACGTGCAGTGCCGGCATCCTATATGGACACTGGTTCGAGTTCTGGCTGCTTCACTTCTGATCCAGCTCTCTGGTATGGCCTTGGAAAGCAGTAGAGGATGGCTCAAGTGCTTGGGCTCCTGCACCCACATGGGAGACCCAGAAGAAGCTCCTGGCATTGGATCAGTCCAGCTCTGGCCATTGCGGCCAGTTCGGGAGTAAACCAGCAGATGGAAGACCCCCCTCTCTCTCTCTCTGTCTCTCCTCTGTCTAACTCTGACTTTCAAGTAAAATAAATAAATCTTTAAAAATATATATACATTGGCCGGTGCTGCGGCTCAATAGGCTAATCCTCTGCCTGCGGCACCGGCACACCAGATTCTAGTCCCAGTCGGAGCACCGGATTTTGTACCGGTTGCTCCTCTTCCAGTCCAGCTCTCTGCTGTGGTCCAGGAGTACAGTGGAGGATGGCCCAAGTCCTTGGGCCCTGCACCCGCATGGGAGACCAGGAGAAGCACCTGGCTCCTGGCTTCGGATCAGCGCAGTATGCCGGCCGCAGTGGCCATTGGGGGGTGAACCAACGGAAAAGGAAGACCTTTCCGTCTCTCTCTCTCACTAACTCTGCCTGTCATATATATATATATATGGCCACCACTGTGGTGCACCGGGTTAATGCCCTGGCCTGAAGCACCGGCATCCCATATAGCTGCCGGTTCTAGTCCTGGCTGCTCCACTTCTGATCTAGCTCTCTGCTATGGCCTGGGAAAGCAGTAGAAGATGGCCCAAGTCCTTGGGCCCCTGCACCCCTGTGGGAGATCCAGAAGAAGCTCCTGGCTCCTGGCTTTGGATCGGCACAGCCCGGCCGTTGCAACCATCTGGGGAATGAACCATCGGACGGAAGACCTCTTTCTCTCTCTCTCTCTCTGCCTCTCTCTCTGTGTAACTCTGACTTTCAGATAAATAAATAAATCTTTTTTTAAAAAATAAAAAATCTAGGGCTGGTGCTGTGGCACAACTGGTTAAAGCTCTGGACTGAAGTACCAGCATTGCACATGGGCACTGGTTCTATTCCTGGCTGCTCCTCTTCCAACCCAGCTCCCTGCTATGGCCTGGGAAAGCAGTAGAAGATGGCCCAAGTGCTTGGGCCCCTGCACCCACGTGGGAGACTCAGAAGAAGCTCCATGCTCCTGGCTTTGGATCAGTGTAGCTCCGGCCGTTGTGGCCATCTGGGAGTGAAGCAGTAGATGGAAGACCTCTCTGTCTCTACCTCTCTCTGTAATTCTTTCAAATAAATAAAATAAATCCTTAAAAGAAATTATAAATTGCAGCTGACCTAGCAAAGCAGTATTTCATGAGGGGCCAGTGTTGTGGTGCAGTGAGTTAAGTACCTGCCTGCAGTACCAGCATCCCATATGGGTGCTGGTTCTAGTCCCGCTGCTCCATTTCCAATCCAGCTCCCTACTGATGCACCTGGGAAAGCAGTGGAAGATGACC